CTTAGTGTATACGCTGCATGTGAGTATACATACTCTCTCAGTGGTGGGTATATACTGCAGCACGCGATAACAGAAGACAGCTGCTGCTCCTATCTCCCGGTCTCTTTCCTCTTCCCTTACCCTCTCCCAGCCTTCCTCCCCCCCCCCCACCCCCTCCTCCCAAACCCCTTCCAGTTTCCCCAACTCCCAAAATGCCGCGCTATGTCTATAAGGAATACTCGGGCGGCAGGAAGTGAAGAAGAAGATGAAGAAGAAGGCGATGCATGACATAGCATGTAGATAGCCCTACGATTGTGTGAGCGAATTATATTTACCTCACAGTAAAAGCTGAAGGCGCCTAGATGGCTGCTTGCATGGCAGATGTGTATACTCATTTCGCGGCACATATCAAAAGAAGATACCATCGTGTAGAGCTAAGAGATTCAACAGCAGCATATGCCACCCACGTAGTATCAGAAGCATCACTCGCAAAATCTTTTATCGCTTGCCTTTAAAACATTCTGCTAGTGAATACAATTGGCTTTATTCCAATGGTTGATTTTTATTATTAGTAGTAGTAGTATTATCAAAGAGTGAGAGAATTATTACACTAATTCGAAACCATAATATGTATAATACAAATTGAGAAGAGAAATCTATGCACTTGTGAAAATAAATAGCGATACAACAGTGAAGGTTATTGGAATGCGTTGATATGAAATTCGTAGTTAAACTGAGGGGTGGGGGGGGAGGGGGAGATTAACGTTGGCGGTTGGCAAGACTTATTTGCAAAAAGAAAAGATTGAACATCTTCGTAAAGATATTGTATAAAAAGGAAATCCAGCTTTATTCTGTTTCCATGATTCCTCGGTCATTTGAAGTTGGGGGCTTTTATCACGCCTGCATCGTAGTCCAGCTAAAAAAAATCAATATTAAATGCGTTAGAATCGCATGCCAGCTGCATTCCTTGAATTAAGTGGTATTGTTCTCTTCAAAGATTCTAGTGAATTGAAGAAGCAACACAACCAATCACCAAGCTACGTTTATAGTGGGTTTAATCATGAAATTCGAATATCAGGAAGTCTTAAATTAACATCTTCACTTCTTAAAAGTGTGAAAGTCGAAAGCGTGCTCCCAGTCCCACCAATTTCAATTCTATTCCACCCATTCACCCTAACCAATAGACAGGGCATTAGTGACAGAGGAATCAAATGTCTTCAAAGACCTCTTACAGGCAGAATGAATTTAAAATAAAATTTTGATTTACCGAATGCCTAGTTTCGAGATTGTTCAGTGACTTCTTCTTGTCCAATCTTGAACTGGAAAGATCCTGAAAGAGAAACCCTCAAAGTTGAAACAAATCATGATGGCAACTAAGAGAAAGAGAGAGAGAGGTTTGAGTTATTAATCATACTTCTGGCTCATCTGCAAAATCCGTAACAGATTTCTGATTCTCAACTTCCATTTCACCTTGTTTCCCAGTATTGGCGTTTTGTTGTGCAAGATAGTTTTCAAAGATAAATTTAAATGCTTTTTCAATAGATGGTGGAATATTCATTGGTGTCGAGTGACCTGGGAGGTTTGAGAAGAGGGTTTTGAACATATTCGGGGGTGGCAAGATCGGGGGTCTAAGAAGATTTTGCCTTGCTGTTGAGGTATTTCTTTGTAAAAGGGGAAGAGGAGGCATTGAGATGAGACCGCTTGAATTTGCCGATGGCACAGTATTTAAGGCATCTTCATTATGAGCAAGACTTTTCGCGATCTTACATGTCGCGTAATGTCTTTTTAATGTTCCGTTTTGAGAAAACGACTTCTTACAGCATACGCAGATATATGGTTTCTCCCCTGTAATAAAAGAATCATACGTTAATAGAGTTGGACGGAAACCCAACTTAAATTTTATATATATATATACTGCCTTTATTTCAAAAATTTACCATATGTTGGCATACAAAAGCTCATATATCTATACATATATATATATATACCCGTGTGTTTCCGAAAATGGATTTTGAGGGCACTTCTGCAGTTGAATGGTTTGTCACAGACACTGCAATGTCTTCCATCTCGGGAAATAACTGTTTCTCCAGATTGTTGGGATCCACAGGGTGTCGAAGCCAGCTGATTAGGAGTACTGCTTGGTTCACTATTGCCACTGTTTGGCGAAGTGCGGTCACTATTATTTGACATTGTTCCATTAGGAGACGTCATAGGGGGTTCCATGGTTATGCTGGGGTTTATAGAATTGGAACCACAGAGGTCGTTCCCCTCATTCAGTTTTGCCATATTATTAATGAAACTGGAATCAAATAGCATTGGTTGATTTGAAGGTGGAAAAGGCAGCCCAGGGGCACATTTCCCACTTGACATGTTGTTCAGAATCTGTCTGAATGTCTCTGTACACATAGGTGGCTGGTAAATCTTCGTACTGTCTGTTGCATTGTCCACCGAGAAACGAGGAAATGGTTGAGAAGGTGGACTGCTTAATGTAGGCAGACTATTCAAAAATGGTGGAGGGATGAATGGTGGGAAATGTGTTGAAAGCGATAACGGTCCGGGAAAATCGAGATTGGAATGGTTATTGGCGATGTTTTCCATAAATTGACGGCTTGAAGCCATTGAAATATCTGGAAATGCTGGTAAATGGATTTCAAATTAGTAATAAAGGATTTGTAATTGCTAATATTATTTATTTCAATACTCACGACAAGGGGGTGAACCAAATAGATTCATGGAATGCATGTTTATTCTGGAATTGGGCAATTGAGAACAGGGAGTTGTTGGTCGTCGTACTGAATGAATTCGGGAATTACCTTGCTCGTCATTCAACACGACCGCCTCTAGGTTTCTTGAATATTCATTAGATAACATGGAGGACACTAATGGATGTTGGGAATTTTCTTTAAAATGACGACTGCTCTCGTGTTCTTGTAACTGGCTAGAGTGAATAAAGACAAGATTACAATATCTGCAGGGGTAATTGCTGTTTGCATTCGCTCTTCTTGAATGGGTTTGGATGTGACGATTTAGAGACCCTACAAGAAGAAGAAAGAAATAGTCAATATCATCACCATCATCGTCGAGATATAGTAATGCTTGGAAATATTCAGGTAGTATCTTGCATTTACCACTCTGATTGAAACGTTTCTGGCAGATTGTACACACATAAGGCTTTTCACCCGTATGTATCCTGACATGAACTTTGAGAATATTCAGCAGATTGAAGCTTTTCTTGCAGTAGGTGCAGTAGAATTTTTTCTTCGGTTCTGAGCCCGACTTTGAATGAGCCTTTGAAGGGGCAAATGAATAATCACTGATTCCATCTTCATTTTCCAAATTACAAGAAGATAGTTGTCTGAAATCAACATTCTCATCAACAGGCGAACTGCTTTGATTTGATCTGACAATATCTGATGTCGCCGTGACAGAAGGCATTGGACTGTCTTCTTGGTCAAAAGATAGTAAGGTTGTAGTGGAATTAGGTCTTGGTTCCTCGTATGAGGTGCACTGTCCGCTCTGCATGATTGCAATGTCCAAAATGAAATTAGAAATTATTGAGCAATCAGTGAGCACACTGTCCCCTAATATGCCTTGACTACGAGTTGTATGCTGATTGGTCAACCAATGAGACGCGTCCCGTCAACCAATTAGAGTCGTCTTGCATGGCGTGCATTTCCGCATATGTAAGCTGGCCTATTTCCCATTGTAAAGAGTAGGCATGTATTATTGGTTGGGGAGATTAAAAGAAACCGTCACCCCGTGACCTTATTTAAGGACAGATTCAGATAATTTTGCCAGTGGTCATGTCCGATACTAACGACCTTATATATAAAGGAGTCAATTTTATCCGTAAATGCTAACACTCGTGTTTAACAATGAGTGCTAAAATAGAAAAGATAGGAAAGAATACCCTCTCTAGCGTTGTCGAAGGGTTTAGTTAAGGAGTACACTCTCGCCCGGTCGTGATTTGTGAAGAACTACTTCAACTAATTCCTCTTGAAATTCCCTCAGTCAAGCCTCAACAATGGAGGGGAGAGGGGGAGCGCGAGTTTGGGTTGATACGAAAAGTCCTCCTCGATCATTTACGGTGAAAAGGATCTGGAGTCATTGGTTCAAGATGGTAATTAGGTTTGGTCTGGTGTAGAATTGAAGCCCACAAATAAGAATTCAAAGGTAAACGTAGAATTATGGAGTTTTTAACAAGATGTAAATTTTGGTAGATTATGTGACAAAGCTCGCCAACTTTTGTCTAGGATATTATTCTAAGGACAGACATTAAATTCGTTAGGAGTAGCAGTTTTTAAAAAGTATCAATATGTACTCTACTGAGTTGGTTAGTTAAGGACTAAAGCAATCAATTTTCTCACAACTATAGCTATGCGTGTGTCTCTTCGGCTAGTATAATGTGAGCGATCTTTAATGAGGAACTAGTGTGATGTCAATGATCGTTCGATAAGGATGGCTAACCACACTGATCAATTCTAGTTGGCGAGATAAATAGCAAAATTGAAGTTTCTCCACAGAGCTCAAGGAGGCTAACTCCACTCAACCTTACGAAGTCTTTGAACTTAGTCATAATGGAATAGTGACTGGGAGATTTCTCCTCAACGCAGCAAAGTTGGGGATTTTTCGACATGAATTACCTAATTGTCTGTCCAAAATGGAGTTCAAGGTGAATTGCGTAAGACGATGAGTCAAGCTCTCTATTTTGTTCCCTCATGAAAACAAACTGAAGCATTCAGCGGCTGCTGCATTGGGGTTAATTAACCGCAGTTACGCAAACAATGCGAGTCTTAGTCATCGCTTTGATGTAAAGACAGTGTGTAATGAATATGTCTTTTAATAAAGACCCGAACTACTCACACAACTAATGCCCATATTGGTCGTTGAAGTATTTTGAACAGTAATGAGGCTTTTCAGGAAAGATTTAAAGTTACTTTTTTATTTATAATGATAGTGTTGAAAAAGTTCAAAGCATTAGAAGGTGGAGTTTGGTTTCTGCATAATTCCAAATTGAGCGATTATTCTCGCCACCTTGAAGCACATTTATTTTGTTGTTCTTGTGTCAATAATGGGACAATTTGACCGTCAGTGAAAAGTTAGTTAAGTTGCCGCGTTTCTTTGCATTTTCTATGAATTTTAAGGTTGTGAGAAAATTCTTGGGTTTTGACTTTGAGAAGAGCAAACAGCCCAAAAGTCAATTGTACAATATTGAGAAAGTCTGTTAGTCTGTCAATGCCTTAGGATCATAATTTTCAGATTAAGTGGAAGTGAAAATTGGCTAAGTAGGCTATACATTGGAAACGTCCGTCACCTATTGAGTGAATGGCAATTTAGAAGAAATGTGTGGTGTGTGTTGAGCTTGATTCTTGTAATTTATTGAAAAGATGTTTTAATTTATTCAGGTTGAGAAGAATATATGACTAAAGAATATGAAGATTTACTAAAGGGGTGTGCGATAGACTTACCTCAACGTGGTGCACCCTGGGCAACGGACACTCAAACTGCAAAAAGTCTATCAACTGGGAGTTGACTTCTGACCTCAAACTACAATGGCCCCACTGTATATCATATTCTACCACTTTCTCTGTTTTTGTGTCTGTCTATCTCTTTTAAATCTTTGAATCTCTCTTCTGCTCCCCCTCTCGAAGTTTTCCCACTTTGATGTTCCTTTCCCTCTATGAAGCCTGAAGTCAACTAAAGGCCTAATGAAAACTATCAAAACGCCTGCCATTTGATATAAACAAATTATTTTCATACGGAAAATCTTAAATTAACTTACCAATACCCCATCGCTAACGCTTAAATCATAATTTTTTGGTTCTGGGTCAATAAAGGCAAAACTTTAATCAATATGTAAGCATTGAAATGGGACAGAAATAAAGTGTAACACCACTAAGCTATACATATTCACCATGGAGAGTATAATGAGCTTTTCTGATCATCTAATTTTAAAATTTCTCCAATTAACTTTTGGCATTCAGAACTGGAATGATCGATTGACCTAATTGCTCAATTGGCCATGTCATCACAATTGATAGGCATAGCCTCGTTTTTACGCCCTGTGTCATTACTGGATTAGTGAAATTGGCCTAAATTCTCAGTTACATATTGACGTTAATCACAAAAATGTAATTTCCCATTTAAGAAGGAAGTGCGTTTCCCATTAATGTCCCATTGTTTTACGGGGAATTGTGTGTGTATAGTCATTCCTCTTTACATCCCAAGCGAGTGTGATTCCTAAAATACTCTGCAATTTATGTTGAGTAAATGCAGAGGGGAATAGCAGAATAAATACTGCCACGCATTGCAGAAGGCAAACAACAGATGGCAACTTTTCATATCTGCGCTAAGAAGGGAATGAATTCTGTAACCATCCTACGACTATTAGCTCGTGTCTTGGGTAAATACAAAGTGTGTATGCATCAGTCTCAATTTATGTGTGTGTGTATGTGTGTTTAATGAGTGGGTTTGATATCACTTGAATTAGACACTAATTACTCCCTATTCGGGGGGGGGGGGGGGGGGACTTATTTGCATTATGTCCTATCAGCTGCAAGAAATCTAAGAGAGGTATTTGTAACACAATTGGTAAATTATTTGCAGACAACTAATGATTAATGAGCCCTATTCCGTTACAATGATAGTGTGGGCATTTATTGACGATATCTTTCAGTGGGTTTTACGTAGTTAACAATTTAAGTTCTCCTCCAATCAACCTTCCCGACACTGTTTACTTAGAGCTCTGCTTTAAAGTAGAATGCCTTACTTCCGTAAAAAAGTAAATGAAAACTAGTTGTTTATATCGCCTCCCATACATTAAAATGTTTAATAGCGCGTCAATTGGGTGCAATAATGAGGAAGGGTCGAAGAGTCTGTGTCTGTTTGGCTGAAACCTAGACTTCAGGATCTGCAATGGAGTCCCGAGTAGTCTAAGCAACTGGAGACGATCCTACTTTCAAAAATACATCTCCGAGTGTGTGTATGCTTGCCTCAATTTCCATATTTAGAGATTTTTGGAATAAAGGTATGCTTCAAATCATTCCCAAAATCATCACCTTCAGAAATATACTATTTCTTAATCAAGCGTTGATTATAACTCTGTTTATTGCAGCATTATTGAGTCACTTTTGATTTTAGGGTGGTTGGTTTGCATTTAATTATCTCTTTATAGGCACATATCTCAAAAGCTACTTTTTACTTTTTTGGCTGTAAAAGAAGCTACTTTCCATAGACTGGAAATACCACTCCCCACCTCCTGACTTCAAGGTTGTCAGCTTGCATAGCCAATAACAAAGAATAAATAAACACAAAGTAAACAAGTTTGAAATGTTTATAAATTGTTTGGACAGCGAATCCCGATCCATAAAAGAATTGAATAGCTCACTCCCAAGGGTGGGGTACTACCGGTGTAGCAGCCAAGAAAGATTTCCAGGTGTTTAAAACTAGAGGTATTTATTTATATCAAATGGCAGGCTTTATGATAGTTATCATTAGCCCTTTAGTTGACTTCAGGCTTCACACAGGGAGAGGAACATCAAATCGAAATAGTCGAGAGGGGGGAACAGAAGAGTGTTTTAAAGATGTAAAAGAGACAGACACAAAGGTTGGAAAAAGATGAGGTGAGTACTGTGAAAGTAGTCGAATTTAACACACAGTGGGGACATGATAGCTTGAACTCAGAAGTCAACTGTCGGTTTATAGACTTTTTTGCCGCGTGAGTATACGTTGCCCAGGGTGCACCACGTGGAGGTAAGTCTATCGCACACCACCTGTTTAAAAGACATTGAATGAAACAGAAAATGTTTTCGAATCTCATCATCAGTGTTGGTGATTCATTTAATGCAG